TTTTCTGATGAAGGGTCTAGGCCCGAAACGTCAGCCTTCCTGCTCCTATGATGCTGCTTGGCCTGCTGTGTTCATCCAGCTCTACACCTTGTAATGTCATGATATACGCTGGTTCTCCTGGATTAACTGAAAAATTTCAAGGTATTCATTTACCCCCCTCCTTGATTGTAGACTCTAACAATTTGCCCATCACAGATGCTACACTATTAGACTATTAGCTTGAACTGGCTGTCTGGACCATGAAGCCTTAGGGCGGTCTGGGGGAGAGGGGTGAGGTATTGTCCAGATCCCGGAGGAGGTAGCACTGGATTCCATTTCAGCAGACCATCAGTAATAGCAAGACTAGAATATAAGACTCTTGCCCAAAGTGCAATGTGGTTTGTCAACTACTGTTGTCTATGGGAGGGAGGCATTGGTTGTGCTGAGGCAATCACTGAATAGTTTAAATTTTCATCAGCACCTTCTTCCTGTCTCTCCGAGAGGGCCTGCAGTCAACAACACTCAAAGTCACAGAACACAGCTCAATGCCAGCCTCATTGGCAGGACAAGACTCCACAAAGCCAGCTCATCCATCCACCAGTGCAGGCACATTCACCTTGGTGGGCCAGACTGTAAGCTTTGAGCAGGGAGCGTGGGATGTGCAGCACATCACCAAGGAGCAGGAGAAGAGTGAAGTAATTATCGAGTCGTAGAATCATAGACTTGTACAGCACGGAAACAGACCCTTTTGTCCAACTTGTCATGCCGACCAGATATCCTAAATTAATCTAGTCCCCATTTGCCGGCATTTGGGCCACATCCCTCTAAATCCCTCCTATTCATATACCCATCCTAATGCCTTTTAAATGTTGTAATTGTACTAGCTTCCACAACTTCCTCTGGCAGCTCATTCCATGCACACACCACACTTGTGAAAAAGTTGTCACTTAGGACCCTTTCAAAATTTTCCCCTCTCACATTAAACCTATTCCATTTAGCTTTGCATTCCCCTATCCTGGGGAAAAGACCTTGCCTATTCACTCTATCCATGCCCTTCGTGACTTTATAAACCCTTATAAGGTCACCCTTCAACCTCCAACATTCCAGGGAAAACAGCCTCAGCATATTCAGCCTCTCTCCATAGCTCAAACCCTCCAATCCCGGCAATATCCTTGTAAATCTATTCTGAAACCTTTCAAGAACAAAAACAAAGTTGCTGGAAAAGCTCAGCAGGTCTGGCAGCATCTGTGGAGGAGAAAACAGAGTTAACGTTTTGGGTCCGGTGACCCCTCCTCAGAACTGAAACCTTTCAAGTTTAACAACATCTTTCCAATAGCAGGGAGACCTGAATTGAATGCAGCATTCCAAAAGTGGCCTAACCACAACATGACATCCCAACTCCTATACTCAATGCACTGACCAATAAAGGTAAGTGTACCAAATGCCTTCTTCACTACTCTGTCTATCTGTGACTCCACTTTCAAGGAACTATGAATCTGCAGCCCAAGGTCTCTTTCTTTGGCAATATTTCTCAGGACTCTATCATTAAGCCTATAAGTCCTACCTGATTTGACCTACCAAAGTGCTACACCTTATATTTATCTAACTTAAACTCCATTCCTCGGCCCATTGGCCCATCTGATCAAGGTCCTGTCATACTCTGAGATGACATTCTTCACTGCCCACCACACTACCAATTTTGGTGTCATCTGCAAACTTACTAACCATTATATATTCACAGCCAAATCATCTATATAAATGACAAAAAACAGTGGACTCAACACCAATCCTTAGGGCACACTACTGGACACAAGCCTCCCAGTCCAAAAAAAAAACAACCCTCCACCACCACCCTCTGTCTCCTACCTTCAGTTCAATTCTGCATCCAAATGGCTAGATCTCCCCATATTCCATGTGATCTAAGCATGCGACCAGTCTACCAGGCAGAACCTTGTAAAATGCCCTGCTGAAGTCCATATAGACAACAGCCACCACTCTGCCTTCATCAATCTTTTTTGACACTTCTTCTAAAAAACTTAAACAAGTTAGTGAGACCAGCTTTCCCACACTCAAAGCCATGCCAACTATCCCTAATCAATCCTTGCTTTTCCAAATACACGTAAATCTTGTCCCTCAGAATCCCCTCTAACAACTTACCCACCACTGACATTAGGCTCACTGGTCTATATTTTCCTGGTTTTTGCTTAGCAACTTTCTTAAATAATGGCACCATATTAGCATCTTGCAGTCTACCGGCACCTTATCCATAGCTATTGATGATACAAATATCTCAGCAAAGGAGCCAGCAATCACTTCCTTGGCTTCACGCAAAGTTCTGAGATACATGTGATATGGTCCCAGAGATTTATCCACCTTTATACAGTTTAAGACTCTGTATATGGACACTTATCAAGATATCACTATTTATTTCCCCATGTTCTCTAGCTTCCATATCCTTACCCACAGTAAATACTGACACAAAATACTGGTTTAATATCTCACCCATCTCCTGTGTTTCCACACACAGATTACCTTGTTGATCTTTAATGGGATTTATTCTGTCCCTTGTTATTCTTTTGTCCTTAATGTATTTGTGGAATGTCTTTGGATTCTTATGTCCCCTGTTTGCCATCCTAATTTCCCTCTTGAGTATAATCTTGCTGCCCTTGTACTCCTCTCAGGATTCACTCGATCCCTGCTGTCTATACCTGACATATGGGGAGGTGATGGCCTAGTGGCATTATTGCTGGACTGTTAATCCAGAGACCCAAATAATGTTCTGGGGACCCAGGTTCAAATCCTACCATGGCAGATGGTGGAATTTGAACTCAATAAATATCTGGAATTAAGAGTCCGATGGTGACTATGAATCCATTGTCGATTGTTGGGAAAAACCCAACTGGTTCACTAATGTCCTTTAGGGAAGGAAACTGCTATCCTTACCTGGTCTGGCCTATGTGTGACTCCAGACCTTCAGCAATGTGGTTAACTCTTAATAGCCCTCTGGGCATTAGGGTTGGGCAATAAATGCTGCCTCACCAGTGAAGCCCTCATCCCATGAATGAGGAAAGAAAAGAAATGCTGCTTTCTTTTTCTTGACCAGAGCTTAATTTCTCTAGTCATCCCATATTCCATACACCTACCAGCCTTTCCCTTCACACTAACAGGAACATATTGTGTCTGGACACTTGTTATCTCATTATTGAAGGCCTTCCACTTTTCAACTGTCCATTTACCTGCCAATAGCCTCTCCCAAACACCTTTTGAAAGTTCTTGCCAATATCACCAAATTGGCCTTACTGCAATTTTGAACTTTAATTTTAAATCACGTCTATCCTTTTCTATAGCCGTTTTAAAGCTAATAGAATTATTATCACTGGCCCCCACTGACACTTCAGTCACTTGCCCTGCCTTATTTCCCAAGAGAAGGTCAAAGTTTACTCCTTCTCCAGTAGGTACATCCATACACTGAATAAGAAAATTTTCTTATACACACTTAACAAATTCCTCCCCATCCAGCCTTTAATGCAATTGCAGTCCCAATCTATGTTTGGAAAGTTAAAATCCCCTACTATTACAACCCTATTATTCTTACAGATACCCGAGACCTCCTTATAAATTTGCTTCCCAATTTTTCACTGACTTTTGAGGTTGTCTATGTACAACCCCAATAAGAAGTGTCAACTGTGGGCAGATCCCTTCAAGGGATGGAGGACAGGGACAAGCATACCTGTACCTTAGATGAATCAAGCAAGGAGAATCAGAGGTCTGGGAGTTCTTGAACAGAAGACATTTCTCAGCTAGTACAATGCAGACAAAGGAGAAGTCCATGCAGCACTCGTGTCCCATCACAGTTCAGCTCCTTCATTGACAGAGTGGCCTCTCTCATGGAG